TTGAGTGTGGCACCTCTGCCTCTCTAACAAGGGCTGTCCCTCACTCTATTCTCCCTCTATTCACTCCAAATCTTTTGCTAACCTCCTTCATATACCTGTAACTCAATTTCCACATAATATTAGAGCAGCTCATCCACCCATTCCTGCCCAGATTTCACCATTCCTCTACTGTTCTCTCTCAGGATATTTCGCTTTTTTGTCTCTTTCTGGAGATGTGTGAAGGCATGGGATAGAATAGAGTATGCTTCTTAAGGTGAGTAGTGAATGGCTCTGGCCTTAGATTATCTCTGACTGCTTTGTGGCTCTCTCAGTAGACTCTCCTTCCCTGATCCCTGGCCCCCTCTTGCTCCCTTTCCCTCTCTCCAACTGGATCATCTTTCTCTTGTTCCCTGCATACATGACTCTTCCCACATCTAAAGCTGAGTATTCTCCACTCAGATATGTAGTATTCACCACAGTTCCTACAGAATCCTGTTCTCTTCTTATCCTCTACCCTACCCTGCCTGCATTATATTCTCTCTGCTTCAGATTTCGACTTTTTCTCCTCTTTTTCTTTACAAATCAATCCCAGAGAGTGTATAGGTAGAGAGGATATATCATTCAAACCATCAAAATGTCACATTGCCTCTTCAATTTGTGTTCTATATCCTTGTGCCACATCAGTGCCACTCAGACTCTGCCTTCCTATTATTGTTGAATTTATCCTTGTTGGTAGCTTATATATCATCATGTCTTTCCATACTGTCAATCTCAATACCTAATTTTGTCAGGAAGTGATGCTTGGACATGTGAGCAGAAGTGTGGCCCAAATTGCTGGCTGGCCAGCAAAAATTGTGACATTGTGACACTTGTGACTGGTAGCACTCTCATGTAAGAGATCTCTATTGAGGTGAAACAGGGTAATATAGATTTATGGACATGGTAGTAGCTGTATAAATAGTCCTACAAGTTAATGATATAGAGTGTTTACTCATACTGATATGAGTGCTCTCAGAGCTCTCAGAGCGTGGGTTCTGCTATCAAATCAGGGGTGGGAAAACACACCGGCTATATAGCAGATACCGGATTTCCTGATGATACTTACTTTGGACATGTATACATACTTCGGACACGTACGATAGTGGGCTGGACACGTAGGGAAGGACTGCTGACACGATATCTCGTTCGAATATGGACTACCGCGATGTGGCTTGGCTCTGGCTCGGCAGAGCAGACGGACTCTTAGGCTGATGTGGCGGACCTAGATGACGTGGCGATTCACACGGACTTGTACTAGTATAAATATTGAACCTTTGTAGTTGAGATTCTCTAACCTGTTCACTTGTATCATGTCTACAGTGTTTCAGTTGAATTCACCAGAATCCTCGATATCGTCTTGCGTGACCTCCAGACGATACCCCTCAAATCTCGACTACTGAAGAGCTTTACCACCAGAACCTCGAATCCACATCAGCTCTAGCAGGACGCCTGCCTCAGAAGAGGATGCCTCATCCCTGCCTCAGAAGAGGACGCCTCATTTGAATGAACTCGATCCTAGACCAGACACCGCGTCTAGACGAATCGAGCCAGAACCCCGGATCCAGAACCTCCGAAGTTCCTCGCTGATTGTCCAAGCCGACGATGCCAAATGACTCGATCGTTCCCCGCTTCACGAAACCAACGCCACCCTTAAGCTTAGCTTAAGCCCGGCCATAACAGAAAGTGGGTTTAAAGTAATTCACTTCCAGTCTAGGCAGATTTGGGTTTTCCTACTTTTCCAGAATCGACTAGTGTTTGTTGGGGGTGGCGTGAGTTTAAGTAGCATGATCAATGTCAACGGAATGTATAAAACGATAATGGGGGGAACGGAAGAAGGACATTATAGTGTAGTAAATAAGGATAAGGCTTGATTCGGGGCTAAGTTCAGAAGGTTGCAGTGTTGAAGTAGGAGTGCTAGTGTTTAACTATATGGAGTGATAACCAGTGTTTATGTCGATGATGCTTCAGAGTTGGTATGGGCAGTTGGGCATTAACCAGGAAGGAAGAACGGTATTCTCACTTTCAGTCGTAGATTTAGCGTTAACCGTATATTCAGTTCAGTTCAGTAGTGTTGCGGTAGACAGTCTTCTCGTGGATCACACAGAGGATAGTACCTCTCAGTTTTGGTGGGGAAATCTCAGGGCAAGGAGTTCTTGCTCACTGCTCTCCGCATTCATATATTTATACCATTCTCCTACAGGGACCAGCTACTTGACTACATGCTATATCTAGTACTCTATGAGTTAGTGGGAAACAATCTGTCAGCAGAATGTGAGTCACCGACAACACAAAACAATTAAAAAAGAGGTAAACTGACAACCGAAACGGAAAGAGATAAGCCAGGGA